TCCAGCTTGTTGTTCACGATTTCAGCCTGACGGTTAAGTAGGTCTACGATAGCATCGATCTTGGCGTTGAATGACAGAGTGAATATGTTCAGCTGATCCTTAAGATCCTTGACAGCGTCAACCAAGGGCTCAATATGAATAGCGACGTCGACTTCATCCATCGCTCAGGGCGAACAGCGGTACGATGAATGAATGGCGGACTGTTGGAAGAGGCCGAAGAGGGAATATTGTTGATGGCAATGCTGATATGAATGTTGCTATTACGCTCTCGATTTCAAGCTCAGAGCCTTGCTAAAGCAGCTTCTATGTACAGGGGCTATTGATGAGTAGAAGTAGACTTCGCCTGTTAATCGTTTCTTCGCGACCTGTGCACAGCCAAAGCGCGTTTTACGCAACTGGTCGTGTGTTTCACGAGCAACCATGTGATGTGAAGTGCAGAGGCCGTAATCTTCAGGGTAAATCCGAGAATTTTCGGTGTTACCTGGATGACAGCAAGAAGTATTGCTGGTCCCATGGCGTATATAGCCGCTGCTATTACTGCGGCTGTTCCGAAAAGGACAAGTGAAGTTTTCCAGTGGTTCTTAATCGTATCTATGATAGGCGTGAAGTCGGGAATTCTCCAGTCCTGAAGCCATGTGGACGACGGTGTCCAGGAGCTCACATGTGACTCAAAAATTTGTTCGTCACTGATATGTGGAAGAAATGCAAGAGTTCCTTGTAACGGTATTTTTTGCAAACGCTCGTCGCATTCCACACTACATTCTTGGCGCACCACTGCCTGCTGAAAATCAAGGGCCAGTAGAGTGGTTTTATTGGTGATATCGCACTCGATTGAAAATGTGTGTTGCTCGCAATGGACTACTATCCAGGAATGTATGTTCGTATGGCAAAACGCAGTTAATGTGGCTCCTTCTTGACAGTTGTAACATCCAGTTAACGGTGCCAACGATATGCTGCAGTTTTGCTGGACGATGTACTCGGCGCTGTCGCGCATGTAGGTGGACTCTAATGCGATGATCATTTCTTCTCTTGACGACAATGCTGCCAAAGAGTTGCCCTTCTTAAGCAGTCTCATGAAGGGACTGGAGATAGGAAACACGTGGGAGATGTCAGCTCGAATGTTCGTAATCGATTCATCCGGACAGTTACATTTAGCCGGAGATACCTCTACGTCGCAGGCACAGATCATTTTATTCCTGCAGTGATGGAAACGTTCGTGGGCTTCTTTCGCGGACGAGCATTCTACCGGCAAGTGGTGACCTTCGGGGATTAGTAGAGTTTCTGTGGGAGCGATTGCATATCGTCGGTGCAGAAGAGGACTGTTTGGTTTGGAAAGAGATATAACAGTTATGGAGGTCTCATTCATTTTCTGCCTGACGTACGGTCGCAGCGCAATCGTTCTTGAGATCTTCTTATTGTAGAGTGAAATCTGAACGTGTAGTCTCACGACAGGTTTCCATTCAATACAGTCCATAATTTCATACACGATGTTGGTTCTCGGAACATTGGCGACACGATAAAAGGAGCATGATGGTAATGGCAATAAGCATCCACACAGTAATCCTCCGCAGGCAGGTTCACAACCGGAGTACCCTGGGTAATTTGACGCATTTCTCAGCTCGTCAATCACACTGTGGGGCTTCACCTCGGAACATGCTCCCGTTTTGCAAGAGCCCATATCGGCACACCTAATGGCACTGAAAACCGTATAGGTCGTATCCCTGGTGAAAAACAGTGTTCGTTTAGAACAATGGAATTCTACCGGAAGTCGTTCTACCAGAATTGTCCCTATTGATCTGTTTGACTGCATGAGGCTGATACATATCATGCTGGTAATTTCATTGAACAGAAGTTCTCTGTTGAACTCGAACACACATTTGCTGTGAGAACTACACATGATTTCTACATTATGTCTGGTGTATCCATATTGGCATGCGCTTGTTTGTTGGTGCGCTGGGAAAAAACAGAACACAGTGACCGCGGCGGCTATTATGCTTGCGCGACTAAGTGGCTGCGGACTGAACGTGTCGAGTCGAATTTGTGAGTCATCCGTGTGCTCAATGCCGGCGGCGTCTGATTCATTGCGTCCGACGGGGATTGAACCCTTGTTGTGTGTTCCAGCGACCACTGCGCTATTCCCTCTATCTCCGCTTTCGCTTGCCTTTGAGCGCTTCGCAGCGGCCTTGATTATGAGCGCAACGGTTGTGATGGAAATGCAGCCAAGTGTGGCAAGGGATATTATAGCTCCTGTCGGCCAGCAATGAGGATTTCCGAGTAGGGTTTTCGATAGTAATGTTTGCGAACCGTCGCAGATATGCGGAAGCGCGCATGATATGCGATCATATTTTTGCTCATGTTCGGATCCAACAGAGTATCTTATCGATATGCCTATGCTGCCATTTTTTGATGTAAATGGCAATTGAAAGATCAGTTCATTAGACTCATTTGTAAAGGTTCTGCATGCTGATCGAATGCATAGTTCGAATTTACTCGAGGGAGGTTCCACATGTAAATGGTGGCCTTTGCAAGTAAGGGGAAGCATGGCTTCAGCCGGCACTCCTTGAAACACTACTGCCGTGACTATGACCATTAGACTAGCGAAACTGACGGATGTATGAGGCTGAGAAGCCGTGGCTTCATTAAGCTGTTTTGTTGCTTCCTTGATTGAATTTATCGCTTTCACTTTTGCGGCACGAGGAGGGCTTTTCTTGATTCCCTCATCTTCTGTTTCCTGATTCGCAGCGGATGAGTCGTGCTTTTGGTTCTCTTCGGAATCAGGTTTCCCTTCAGATTTGCATGAAATCTCCAATGGATAAATTTTACTGACAGGTCTATGCCATATGTGTTTGTTGGGCATCAAGAGTTTTACTGATCTTACTAGGCCGTCAGTGCTTCTCACTAGTTCTACAATTTTTCCGTAGCACCAACTGCCGCGTGGTAGGTTGTCCTGCTCCACAAGTACTATTTCGTTCGCTTGGGGTTCTCGTAGCTTGGAGTGACGAGGCTGTTTTCTGTTCGCAGTTTGGCTTTCACGCAAGGCAGTGAGGTACTCACTGTGCCACTTCTCCCAAAATTTTGTAGTCACCATCTCCACATGCCTTAGCGCTTGTTTTGCCTGCTCAACTGTCTGTATGAGAGTTGGGTCGAAAGACGGATCCTGATATTCTTGACCGTCGACCGTTACCAAATTGTATTTCAAATTGCTCTGAAGAAAATCCACAGGTCGAATGGGAATGTCCTCAACGTTTGATGAGTCCAATGCTGTGAGAGGTCGTGTGTTCAAGATGGCTTCAATTTGAGTTACGACAGTGTACAACTCGGCCTGTGACAGTTTTCTCCTTCCGACGGATTTGGTAAAGGCACGTTTGACCAAACCTACGAGTCGCTCCCATGCTCCCCCCATCCATGGTGCTCCTGGAGGGTTGAACAGCCACTGTATTCGCCGATTAGCACTGTATGTCATCACGGACTCTCCGGTGCTGGTCTTGTCCTGCTCAAACATCAACTCAATGACGCGCTGGCCGAGCTTGAAATTCGTGCCGCAATCTGATCTTATGAGTTTTGGGACTCCTCTTCTTGAAATGAATCTTATAAACGAATTGAGGAATGCTCCAGCAGACATGTCTTCGACTACTTCGAGATGTACAGCACGTGTGGTGAGACATGTATATAGACATACATAGGACTTCGTATTTTCCTTGCAGAGGAATGGTCCCATAAAATCGCATCCAGTCGTCTGAAAGGGTCTTGTCAGAACCACTCTATCCTTCGGTAGCGGCGGCATTGCTGGCGCTCCAAATGGGAGTCCTTGTAGTTTTTTGCACGTTACACATCGCCTTATGAATTTGTTGAAAGAACTGGATGGTCGTGGGATCCAGAATCTTTGACGAGCGATGCTCAATGTATGGTCTTTCCCGCAATGTGCATTCTGTTCATGGATGTCGCTCAGAATGAGCCGAGCAAGATCGGAATCCTTTTCTATGAATATTGGATTTTTTGTGTCGTATTCCAATGGTGCATTTTGCAAACGAGAAGCATTTCTAATTATGCCTTGGCCGTCTCGGAAGATCATTTTCTGTGGGAATCGCTTTCTGAGTTCTTTAAGCGAAATGTATTTGTGCGCTTCCGAAAAGAGTATAGCCTCACTGAGAATGATGTCTTCTGATGTGATTTCCCACTGTACACTGAATTGCTCCAGCTTTGGAAGTAGGATTCTGGCTTGGTCTTCCTTTTTGCTATTCACTTTAGACACCCAAATATGGAGAGTTTTGCACACACGGGCGATAACCCTTGTGACCTTATTGAGGCGAGAGTATCGTGACAACTTGATCCAATCCGAGTGTTCGACTGTTGTCAGCGCTACAGAATTCAATTCGATAGTGAGACAATCTGTCTTTTCATCTTTCTCCTCTGGCTCAATTCCATGAATCTCTGTTAGTGGTGTGATCCGTTTAGGGACTTCGTCTTCACTGAGCCACTTTGGTCCATGTATCCATGGAAGATCACAGATCTTAGCAGGATGCACTCCTCGTGTGCCGGCATCAGCTGCGTTATCTTCTGTAGGGACGTGAAAGAAGCAAAGCTCTCTATTTTCTGCTTGAAGCAGATCCTTAATTTTCATTATGCGATCTCTTTGGTTCGCAATGAAGGTTGGCAGCGTTTTAGCAGATTTAAGCCATGACAGGGCGATCTCGCTGTCACTGAGCACGTTGATCTGTTGGAATCCTTCTTTGATGGCCGTTGAGATTGTCTTCGCGAGTCGCACCGCCATGAGAATGGCTACCATTTCTAATCGTGGTATGGTCTGCTTGGTCTTCTTAGGTGTTAGACGCGTTTTCCCACTAATTAGGGGTGAAACTTCTCTAGTGTCTTCATTACGGATAAAAGCGCATGTGGCTAATGCTTTTGAACTCGCGTCTGCGAAAACCCATAGAGACATATTGTTCTTAGATGAGCCTTGAGGATCTCCCACATAACGAGATAAAGAAAGAGACACGTTGTTAAGTTCTTGACATGTTTCATTCCATTGTTTTGCTTGCTGGTCTGGGATCAGTTGTTTCCAATCTGTCCCGCAGTCATATATTTCCCTCATGTAATGCTTCAGTCTTACTGTAAGGGGGGCAGCGATACCTATTGGATCATAAACCGAGTTCAGTTGACTGACGACATCTTTCTTAGATAGACTGGTCTTGTTGGGAAACTTGAGGGTAAGGTGGAATCTGTCCGCTTTCGTGTCATAATTCACGCCAAGTAGCTTGATGACATCACTAGAAAGCCGGTCTTCAGGTGGTATGCGTTCATTTACTTCTTCACAGTTCGAGACATACTCCCTCAGGTTCATTCCTATCTCAGCGAAGAGTTGCTTGCTTTCTTTATACTTTGCAACTGCCTCGTCGGGGTTACGGGCACGGAAAAGGATGTTGTCGACATAGAGATTGGCAAGAATTTCTTCGGCGAGTGGTGTCTTTTTTGACCGTAAGAACGTCAACAGGGACATATTCAGGATGCTTGGCGAGGGCTTGGCTCCAAAAGGCACTCTTTTGAATCTGTATTCAACAACGTTATCTCGAGTGGGTGGTCTATCTTGGTCTTTCAGCCAAAGGAATCTGCAAAGATCCCTATGGGGCTTATGTAGCCTTATTTGAGTAAAGGCGGCTTCAATGTCGCAGAGGACTATTATGTTTCCCATTCTGCTGACGATGAGAATATCATGAATTTTATTGACCAAGGACTCTCCTTTGAGCGTAACGTCGTTTAGAGAGAGTTGACCCTTTCTTTTGGAGGACGCATCGAATACAATCCTCAGCGGTTTCGGTTTGTGTTCGCGCCATACCCCAGAATGGGGCATGTAATATACCCCTGCTGAATTGGGCATTTCGCCTTCCACTCTTTCAATTATATCATCGTCTTCGTATTGCCTCATTATTTTCCAATACCAGTGTTTCTGCGTGGGATTGCCCTCCAGTTGACGGTGGAGGCTTATCAGACGTTTGATTGCTGTTGAGTAGTTGTCTGCTAGATCTGCGACCTCACGAGTAAGTGGAAAAGGTGCTGTCACGACGCCATCTTCGAAGGAAATTTGTTTAGAGTATTCTTTGTAGTACTCTACGAGTTGCGAACTTTCGGCGTTTTCATTCCAAGATATGCCTAGCCCTTCCAGCTCAAAGAGCTTGCTGAGCAGCTCTTGTTCGGTTTCATCGATCGCAGTCATTCCGTGTGTAATCATGGTCATGCATGTATCATTTTGAGTCTCCAAAAAACCACGTCCATAGACTGTGGGTCCAAATATAGTGCTAGCCATGCGAAGTCCGGATGGTGTCTGGCAAATGTCTCCGTTTTCCAGCACGAAATTGTAATAGTAGTCGAGGCCAACTATTACTTGAGGCGTATGCAGTTCGCCCCTTATGTGTGGGTTGCAAATGAGGATGTTCCTTTCTTGCAAAAAATCTTGATCCATGGCGCACAGTTTGACGGCTGGAAATCCATTGGTTAATACCGGTTTCGTCTGTATGAGGATCTCTAAGTCCTTCCCATAAGCTGTGCCTATCTTTACATGTACAACGTTGCTTTCAAACGTTTCAATTTTACCTCCAATTCCTGACATGACGCATTTCTCAGTTCGAAGCATGGGGAGGCCTAGTTTGGAAGCGAAGTCTTCTTGGATTACAGTTTTTTGCGCTCCTGTATCGAAAAAGAACATAGCTCTTTCGAATGTTTCTGTGTTGTGATTCCAGATATTACCTATAGCGGTCATCAAAACTATTTGTTCGTTCTGTCGCGACTTATACCTGTTTTCAATGGTTGCATGATTTTCAGAAGTTGCTGTCGTAGGTTGATCCGTAACATGAATGTGGCTCTGTGTTCCACCTTTGGTAAAAGTTTTCGGTCTTATTTCTTTCTGAACTAGCGTTATCATGGCGATTCCTAGGTGCCCATGATCCGGATCGATATGCGTCATTGGCATTTCCGTTATTTGCAACGTTGCTGTTTCTTTGCTCTTCCTGTGGTCGTCTGTTGTTCGGGGAATGTTGTTGCGGCGTGTTGCGCGAGCTGGCGGTATGCTCGTCTTTGTTTTCGCTGAAGTAACACAGTCTGCTGTGGTGAGGTTTACTGCACAGCGGACAGTCATTTCTAGCGCATTGTTTACTGGGATGCTGGTCTGAGTAGCATTTCCAGCATAATCGTTTTCCAATAACGATTTTTCTTCGTTCTGCTACAGTCAGTGGTGACTTGCACTGCCAAGGATGATGACCGAGTTTCTCGCATATCACACATTTCGGATGAATCGTGACCGTGCTTCTTTCTGAACTCTTCTTGAATTCTCTGAAGTGTGACCGAGTCCGAGATTGGATGTACGATTTTGCGGATATTTCCTTATCTATGATATCCATTACCTGTTCTACCACGAGGTCTTCTTTTTCTCTCATTTCAATGAGTACCGGTTCAACAATGTCCCGTGGAAATTTGTTCAGTATGGTTTCAATCCACATCGCATCATTTGTTGGACGGATGTCCTGTCCTGCAGAAGTCATCTGATTCAAGAGCGAGGAAATTTTATCGTATACCAATTCATTGCTCTCAGCACTTTTGTCTGACTGGGGCAGATCCATCAGTTGTTGAACAATCCGTGACCTGTTGGTAGACTTGTTCTCATATTTTTTCTTGAGACTCGCGATCATCCAGTCATAGTTCTGAGGCACGAGTTGGATACCTCTGATAGCTCGATCCGATTTTCCTTTCAGGCTATCTTTCAAAAGCATCATTTTCTCGATGACTGTCAGTTTGCTGTTGTTGTGTACAAGAGTTTCGTATATTGCCCAAAATTCTGGGAACTCTTCTGCGCTACCGTGGAATTTGGGCAACTCTACACGAGGTGGTGGAAGTGCTGGTGACACTGTTGATTGCGGTCCACTGTCTGTTGCAATGATTGGACTGTCATGTTCATTGAGGTCTCTCGGTACGCTCATGGCGTTCTCGCTTTCTTGATTCAAACCCAATTTGCGGGCGAGTCGTTTTTGATTGCTGTGGGCCTCAGTAAGCCGAGTGCCAAGCATAAGGCTCAGTTCCATTGCATCTTTCATGGCTTCCGTAAAATTCGTTTCCTTCTCGATGTTCTCCAGCTGCTGCTGTATATTTTTTCTGTCCTCTCTGTTCTTTGAATTATCATAGTCAAGCTTGATTTTGTCCACGAGTGCTTGCAAGCTTGACTTTGCAAGGTCGATTTGCTTGAGGCTACCCTCAAGAAGGTCGATAGTCGTTAAAACCTCTTCAAGCTGGGCTTTGTCGTCGTCGGAATATTTGGGCGGATCCGCATACGGTTTGAAGTTTTGTATCAGCGTCTTCAAGGTGAGCACGCTGTGGAGAACAGGCTTCCCATAAAGAATAGATTCCATTTCTGCCCTTAGTGGGTCTTTGAAACTAGAAAGCTCTGATTCGTTGGCCAGGCGACCAGAATTTCTTTCAGAATCAGAAAGCTCTGATTACTGGTCGAGCGACCAGATTTTCCTTCTTGATTTGAAGAACAAGTGTTTGGCCGATGCACCAAAACACTGTTCTAACGATGGTTCAGTGGAAAGTTTATTGGGAACAAAGTCCTCACCACCAAAACGATCTTCAGAGGCAAAACCAATGCTAGCTTCTATGACGAGCTTATATATTGCGTACACATTAAAATCGAAGCGAAAGGAAGGAGGCGTACATTTTCTACGAAAGCATGACAACAAATCGAAATCGAGCTAATGGAATACAGTAAACTGACAAAACAGTCGCGATTGCTCGCGACACTCCCGCCGCCACTAAGCAATAAACAACAACAACATTACTAATTAAGCGATCACTTGCGTGTTATCTTGACGATCTCCGACCAGCTTCTCCGCGCCGCGATGATGCCGCTGCCCTTGAACCGATGACACATCCAGAGCATCACT